CCGAACAACCGGTGGAAACCAAAAGGCTTACAAAGTTGGGCACGCCAAGTGTTCGACAAAATTCCCGAATGAACTTCCAAAAGCTTTCGACCTTCCATCTCGCACAAATTCGAACGAAATGACGTCGCCGGCCAAGAAACTCTTAAAGACGGGCGAAACCACAAAAAAGGCCCAACCCAAGGAGAAGGCTCCGGCGAAGGGAAAAGCCGCACCGAAGAAAATGGCAGCTTCTCGAGGCACGGGAAGCCAAGAAGGCACTTCGAGCGCACCACCACCATCTCAGGTGCCGGAAGAGCAACAAACCCCACGCACGGGAAACGTGCAACTTGAGATGGGATCCCGTGCTAATCAACACACCATCCTTGACCACGTAGTCCTCGAACCGGGAGATGAGTTTTTGTACGTGAACGTCGAGGCCAAAAGAGAATTCATACGTCGCCATAGCCGACCATTTGTTCCAGAAAGGGAATTAGATATCTATGGCATGGAAAATAATCGATCATAGCAAACTTTGATCGTCGACAATGGAAGTACTTGGCCAAACGACCGGAGGACTACAACGAGAATCTAGTGAGGCTCTTCTATGCCAATGCCGGTTTTCACCCGGGTCGGTGGTCGTTCTTCGAGACAAAGAGGTGCGCTATGACGCTGCTACAATCAACAAGTTTTTCCACCTACCCGAAGTCCCGACCGAGCCGTTTCAACAACTGAAGATGGCAACGACCTATGAGGAGCTGATTCAGACTCTTTGCCCTAGGGGTTCGAAGTGGCAAAAAGGAGAGCACTGGTTCCGTCGGGGGAACTTTCAAGGGAAGCGAAGGTATGGATGTACTTCGTCAGTAGCAGGCTCATGCCCACAAAATCGACGGCCAAGACCTATGCCCCACGTCTTACACTGATGTATGCCATTATGAAGAGGACACCTGTGAATGTGGGCGCGATCATACACGCTGAGATCCGACGATGCTTAGGTGATACCTCTCTAGGTCTGATGTTCCCTTCCCTCATCACTACACTGTGTGATCGTGCAGGGGTCCCCACATACGCGGATGACCGGCTCACCAGGTCACCACAGCCTATCTTCCCTTACCACAAGCTCCAGCCAGCGAGTGGACCCCTAGGCGAGGGCGACTCAGACTTACCAGATGCTGGTCCCTTAGGTGTTCATGCGGCTCGACCAGAACAAAGGGCCAGAAGAGGCAGACAAGAAGCAGAACCACAGCTCCCGGAGTATGTCGGCCAATGGATGGATGTTATGGAGGAAAATGTGGGATGGTTCAAGAAAATGATGAAGGCCATGGCTGCAGCGCTTCAGTGCAGGACCGATGACATTGTCGAGCCACGGCCGTTCCCACCACGGCCTCGATATGATGGAGCATCAACCTCCGCCGCCAACGAGCAAGCACAAGCGGCAGCCACTACACTGGTGGCACAGGCCTGGGAGGAGTACGAGCGGGGACGACAAGAAGAGGAGGGAGGAGCCCACGAGGACGATCAAGACAACTAGGGGACGTTGTGTTTTCTATCCCTTTTATTTTTTATTCTGCTTTTGAGCATAGGGACTATGCTAGAATTTAAGTTTGAGGGTGGTGTGTGTTGAACCTGTTTGTTTGTTTTTGTTTTTTTTTTTTTGGGATAAGTCGTTGGATTGATATTTCGTTTACGATGTATCTTTGCTAGACTTTGTTTTTATTTTATTTTATTTATCTTATTTTGATTTGGTCTTTTGCATGCATATCATATAATTTAGTTTCGTTTATGTATTTCAATTTCCGTTATTGTGTTATGTTTGTCACATGCATTTCATTTAGGATCGAGTGTAATTTGCATTTCCGGGTTCTTTTGAAGCAAAGCAATTAATGAATTAGTAGATGGGCTAGTCGATTTTAAAATTCAAATTTTGGATCACCGGCTAATTATAGATGAACCTTCCGACTGCGTTTTTGCAACTTGTGTGGATAGCCTTTCGAATCCTTTCCGATTAAGCTTGAGCGCATTGTTCTGAGGGGTATAATAGCCTGAGGTTTGGGGGGGCAGGTTAGAATTGAATTATGTGTTCACAATTTCGAGTTGTTGGCTAGAAGTTCTATCAATGGTCTTTACGTTTTTATTCGATATATATATAAAAAAAAAAAAAAAAAAAAAAAAAGAGAAGAAAGTTGTGATGAAAATCACAATATATCGTTGATGTCATTTCTTATTGAATAAAAAAGACCTACTTATGCCCAACTCGAGTTTTTGAATTTCATAATCAAAACTTACTTTTCACCCACATTTCTACTCAAAACCCTCGATGATTGTGTTTATTGTTTAATTACGGATTCTTGAGTCCATCTTTCATTTTGGTGTAGAAACAACTAATTGCGTCGGTAGGAAAGTCGAATACCTTAAAGCCATGGGCCATTATGAGATTTTAGGTTATCTAGCTCGTTTTATCTTTCGAATTAATTGCAATGCTTTGACCAATCCGGCAACTTTGTGGGTGTGTTGTCTGAAAACCCTCACGAGACACAACTCGTCCTTTGGGGGTACCCAGGGGTTCAAAGGCGTGTTGCGTACGCTAAATGCAATCGTGATTCCCTACGTTAGTGGCCTAGTTTAGTTTGTTGTTTTTATTTCATTTTTGTTGTAGTTTCGTTTTGATTTACTCGGGACGAGTAAAGATCTAAGTTTGAGGGTGTGATAAGTGGTCGTTTTGCACGATTTTTGCTTATCAAATCTTCGAGTTTTGGTCTTCGTTCGTCCGAGTTTCGGCTTTATTTGTATATATTATTGCGTTTCTTGTTTTATTTCTTTTTTTAGGTTTTGTTAGCTTTTGTTGCCAAGTCGAAGCCATTTGGAAGCGAAACCGATTTTTCAAGCCGAGAAAGTGATCATTAAGACCCAGATCGCGATCCAGGAAAGTCGGATCGCGATCTGGATGCAAATTCCAGTAGCAAGCAAGATTCAGACCCACATCGCGATCCAGGAAAGTCGGATCGCGATCTGGTGACAAATTCCAGTAGCATCGTGATTTTGGGGCAGATCGCGATCCGCACTTCCTGGATCGCGATCTGGGTGGCGGTTCACGTTTTTTCGAGAAGCCAGATCGCGATCCGACTTTATGGGATCGCGATCTGGCACGATTTTCGAGGGCATATATTTTAGAAAGTAAAGCTTCTTGAGGAAGCTTTGCAATTTACTATAAATAGAAGCAAGCCCTCACCTTTCGTTATTCTTCGACTTTTTACGGTTTTCGACAGTTCTTCGCGGGAATCGTCAACGGGGATTCCGACTTGGGTTTTTCTTACGCAATTTCTTTACGTTTTGTTCTTCATTTCCTTTGTACATTCTTTTGATACTATGTTTGTTATGAACTAAGAACATTTTCTTCTAGGGCAATGAAGCCTTGTATATATTGATTTCGATCGTCATTTCTGTTATCTATTTGTCGTGTTTTGATTTCGTTTATGTTTTCCTGTATTAAATGCTTCTGATTGTGTTGATCAGCTCTCAGATTGATATTAAATAGGAATGAACTCGAGAGAGGATTTCTTGTTTGAAGTTAGGAAAACATAGCTCGGGGTGTGGAAACGGAGACGTGATGCACTTCGGGTAGCCCTTAAGGACTTGGCCTAAATGCTCTCTTAATAGCAGGTTCTGAACGGAGACGTCGGACCTGTGGGTAGACTCTAACTACACTGGAGACGGGGGTTAGAGTACATTAGCGTCTGGGTTAGCGAATAGGAATGTGGCATTAGATAACGGATTTGTAGATCGTTGTTCATTATACATAGGTGGATTTGGCCCTAGAAGTCCCCTTTAAATCGAAGTCCCCCCCGCGTTGAGTTGTCGTACTTTATTCACGTACATTCCATATTTGCATGTTTACGATCTTGCATGCTTTTAAATTAGGGTTTATCACCAATCCACTTATTTACGATCGGCTAGATAATATAACGATAATATAATTACACTACTCAGCATTTGAATCTACAAGGTCCCTGTGGATCGATATCCGGAACCACTGTTCTGCAAAATGCGATACCGTATACTTGCGGTAATTTATACGTGAGGAAAACGCGTATCAATGGTCTTGTCCATCCTCATTCGCACCATCAAAAGGCATATTGGGTTGATCAAGCTCCTCAAAACATTTATCACTAGCAATCACTATATTTCTTTGCACATCTAATGAAAAAGGGGCCATCTTTTCTAAAATCGGAAATCTATTTTCCAAAACTCCATAAGTTCGTTCAATGATATTCCTTAGTTGAGCATGAGCATGATTAAATTTTTCTTCTTTAGTCAAAGCACGTCTACGACGATAGTCTCCTAACCAATATCGCACATTGCGATACGGAACCATAAATCCTCTAGTATGTGTATATGCTGCATCACAAAGATAGTATTTACCTGTAATAATAATAAAAATAATTCAAGATCAGATTTAACGTATAAATAATTAAGAATTTATAGTTTGAATTTAAAGTAATACCACTGAGAGGCCATGGAAAACCGTTTCTCGGATTAGCAACTGTATCTGTTAAGACTCTTGAATCATGTGTTACTCCTTCCCAGCCTGCCCAAACGAACGTAAACATCATATTAAAGTCGCATATTCCTAAAATATTTTGATAGCACTGACCCTTTCCTCTACCCATGTACATAGTTTGCTTTGATATTGGAACAACGGCATGTACTAATGTTCCATCAAGTGCACCAACTGCTACCTACATTTAGATTAAAAATAAGTTACGGAAGCAAGAAGAGAATTAATTAATGACAGAAAAAATAAAACGATACACAATATCTACCTTAAAAATTCGGTGTAACCTCCTAAAACTTGCCGAAATATTTGGATTCAGGTCAAATGTTGTTGGTACTATTATCTCCCTTGCCATATTCGTCATTGCACTCAACATTTCGTGAAAATACACATGAACTGTTTGTGAAGAGTGTTGAAATCTACGCTTCACTACACGAAGACGCTTATTATGCCCAATAATTTGCTAGAACATTACCATTTTTTCTTCTACTGATACATGTCTACTATCATGCAGCCACCCTCGTTGTCTAATATGCATGCTCAAACAGATATATGCAACACGGGACATGCGCATTAACTCAATACATTGTGTATCTGATCCAGACAAGAGCTCCAATGTGTAAGCATGTCCCCACAATGCTGAATTGTTATCTCTGTTTCTTGGTACACGCATCAAATATCTCGGTCTAACTTGTGTGTACCAATAGATCATCATCAATATCATAATCTCGTAAATTTCCATATTTGACCTATTAACAAAAATGATCAATACATTAAATATTTGAGAATGTAAACTATCATTAGCAAAATATTGAATCATAAAGCGAATTCAATTCACAAGGTAAATGTAAAACAAGTTTATTATAAAAAGTACCAAATAAACAAGTCTATACTAAAATTGAAACTAATAACATAAAAAGTTTGCAAGAACTTACGAAACTTAAAACAAATCCATCAACACAAAATACTACTAAATTCTTAAAATATGATACATAAGCCATTGCAAATTAAACTTCAAATCCCGTATTTTGTCTAATTCTTTTAATCCATGCTTTCAGAACTCCGACATTATCCTTAGGAAGCGCCATCCAAGCTTCTCTATGTCCCGCACAACTGCCAAAGATTACAACAGCTGAAACATATAAGATGTCCTCCTTATCCCATTCAAGTTCATCCAATTTAGCAATACAATCTGTAACTGAAGGCCCACTATTATTTTTAATTATAAACTTTAAAGCTGCTGACATCTCATTTATTAAATTAGTATCACTGGGCAAGGGTTGACTATTTTTCCTTTTCTTTTTGGGCTTTTCTCCTTGAGAACGATGAGAGAAATCATTAGTTTGAGTCCCTCTGGTATCCCTAAAATTTCCATCTTCATCACAAAAAGAATTATCTTCTATGTCACTTTGTTCCACATTCCGGACATTACTCGAAGAAAATGAGGTAACACCAGGATTTTGATCTTGGGAACTAGGTCCCCAAGAATGAACACCTGTAGCAGTGGCACCGTCGAATAGGGCTCTACAAAGGTCAGGATAAGGTAGGGTGCAAGTCTTAAGCTCTTTGCCTTAGGATGAGCCTGTATTGAAGTATCAAATTATAATTCTTAATAAAATCTTATAATTACTAATAAAAGTAAGTGATGAGCCTAAGTAGGTTTTTTGGCCCAACTAGAGGGAAAATCTACTTAGAGCTAAGATTCAAGCACAATTGTCCCACATCGGAAGTTTACGACAAACTAGTAGTCTATTCCTCCTATAAATATAAGGTATGATTCATTTGTATATCCATCTCTAATTTGGGTGATATTTTAGCCTTTGCAAAGTATCATTTCCAATATCTGACTTGAGCGTTGGAGTGTAATCGTCGAGCCCACCCCCGACGAGTCACATAGTGTTTTAATTTGTTTTGTAGGGTATCAAGTGGAGCCCACCTTTCGACCCCTTCGACACGTGGCAAAGGACCCCCGACATTCTCGTACTTGGAGACCGGCTCGTTGGGCTTCAAGACAAGTGGGCTGACTCGTTAGCATCGAAGCAGCATCATTTTGGCGCCGTCTGTGGGAATGCGGACTAGAGCACGTGGCCTGGAGGAAGGCTGTCGAAGGTCGGATGGACTCCCTCCTCGGGAAGCATACGAGATTCCGGACCCGCCTCGGAGGGCAAGGACGACGGGGGAAAATCCAATAGGAGAGGCGCCGCCGGCCCTGCAGATAACGGCGGAGGAATTGGAGGCATTGATGGAACAAACAGCGGCAAAGGCGGCGGTGGCAGCGGTGGCAAACTACCTAGCAACCCAAGGCGTCGCCCAAGGAGACAGACCGAGCCCAGCAGCCAATGACCTATCAATATCCCCTCCAAACTACCCGCCCTCGCCAATAGTAGAACAGTACGAATCAGGGAATGAGAGAGTGTCATTGAGTGACCGGAACTTTTCAACTTCCCCGAGGAATGCCCAAAGCCGAACACCACAACCTAGCCAATCCCCAGGCCAAGCACCCCGAAGGAACGTACATCACGATTCGCCGACAGATAGCATCTCATCCAGCTACCCCACCCGAAGGGGCGACCGCCGGCGCAGGGCGCGCTCCCGGGATCGAGACGAGCGCGGCCATCTTGGCAGGAGGCCCCATCGTCCAAACCGCCATGGAGGCCATGATCAAGACGAAGAAGAGAGCATGATGTCTCAGCGCAATGAGAGGGACCGACGTCGCTCAAGGATTGATGACAATAATGCGAGAAGCCGTCGGGTGGAGGCGCCCCTCCTCCCAATGGGAACACGTCCAACAAGAATAAGCCCCTTCATTCCGGTCATCTTAGAAGAAGTCTTGCCATTCGGGTTTCGGATTCCCGACCTACCACAGTTTAATGGGAGCGCATACCCTTAGGACCACATAAATAACTTCTATGCAAAGGTCGACCTTTACGGGCTCACAGATGCGGCATACTGCAAAATCTTCCAGACCACCTTGACTGGCCAAGCGTTGGGTTGGTTTAATAAACTACCTGGAGGATCCATCGATGGGTGGATGCAGTTGGCGGAGCAATTCCTTAGCCAGTACTCTATCAACAAAAAGTACGCCAAAACCGGAATTTACCTTTTTAAGGTGATACAACGCGAGGGCGGGGCTCTGAGAGACTATGTGCAACGGTTCGTCAATGCGGTCCACGAGGTGCATTACGTTAACCATGAATTACTGGCCGGCATCTTGATGAAGAACTTGCGACACGCGCGCTTTCGGGACTCCCTTGCCGGTCGACCTCCCTCAACCTTAGACGAGCTCCTTAGTCGAGCTGAGAAGTATATTCGGATCAAAGAAGCCACAGAGATGGGGCTGCCTGTAAAGCGAAAACGGGATGAAGATAGACTCTATCCTCAGAATCGCAACGAAGACCGGTATGAGGCAAGAAGGAGAGACGAAAGACGCCCAGACCGACCCTCATCCCATCCCAAGTTTACACCTTTAAAGGCCAAGCTGTTAGACGTGTGGGTGGTGGCAGAGCAAAAAGGCTTAATCCTACCTCCCCGACCCATGAAAGAAAATCCGAAGCGAAACAAGTCGGATAAATACTGCGAGTATCATAAGGACCGTGGACACACGACGGACGAATGTTTCCAACTTAAGCAAGAAATTGAAAGATTGATAAAGAAAGGACACCTTGGAGAATTCGTGAGTCAGCATCCGAACAAAAACTTCAAGGGAAAGCCTCAATTCCAAGGCAAGGACGATCGACGCGAGCCCCGGAAGGGCCGAGAAGAGGATAATTTGCCAACGCAAGGCATCGTCGCCGTCATCTCTGGAGGCCCGGCGGGAGGCGACACGCTCAGCGCCCGTCGAGCGTTAATTAGGGCCGCCAGCGGATCAATCTCTACGTCAGAACGCCCGGCAAGGCAGATGCTGCACATTTATTCACCGGAGTCGGAGATTTCTTTTGGGGACGCCGACCTCGAGGGACCCCGCAACGATCATAATGACGCATTGGTCATCTCCGCCTCAATCTCCAACTATTTGGTGAAGAAAATCCTGATAGATGGCGGGAGCTCGGCTGACATCATATACCACGATGCTTTCGAAAAGTTAGGAATTTCGAACGCCAAACTCACGCCGGTGAAGACTCCCCTGGTAGGATTCAGTGGAAGTGTGGTAGAGGCCATGGGAGAGATACCTCTGGCCGTGTCTATAGGTTCGTTTCCGCAAAGGGTCACAAACACCGTAAATTTCTTAGTCGTCAAAGCCCCATCTACGTACAATGTGATTTTGAGGCGACCGAGCATCAACATATTCAAGGCAATTCCCTCAACTTACCATATGAAGCTCAAGTTCCCAACGCCTCATGGCATAGGGGAGGTAAGAGGTGACCAGCGCATCGCCCGTGAATGTTACGCAAATACCCTGAAGACGCCACAATTTCGAGCCAAGAATCAGACAGGTGGGGGAGACGACACCCCGGGCCACTTGAAGAGGAAATGGGTGTTGGCGGTTGAAGATGAGCACACCACGGTTTTGGTTAATCAACACGACGACAGCATGAGACTAGCGGCAGTGGATGAGGTTAAGGAAGTGGAGCTAATCCCGGGCAACCCAGAGAAACTGCTTAGAGTTGGAGCAAGCCTTGACCCCAACACAGAAGCCGACCTAGTTGAATTCCTTCGGAAAAATGGCGATGTATTTGCCTGGACGGCGGCGGACCTAGAAGGAGTTCCCCCTTCTAGGGCATTACATCGGCTCAACGTCAACCCAAAACTTAGACCCGTTAAGCAGAAGAAAAGAACCTTTGGCCCCGAGCGGAACAAACATATCAAAGAAGAAGTTGAAAAACTCTTAGCAGCCGGGCACATTAGGCCTGTCCAATATCCGGTGTGGTTGTCTAACGTGGTTCTCGTGGCTAAGGCAGGAGGAAAGTGGCGCATGTGCATAGATTTCACAGACCTCAATAAAGCATGCCCAAAGGACCCTTTCCCACTCCCGAGAATAGACCAACTGGTGGACTCCACCTCGGGATGTGAACTTTTGAGCTTCTTGGATGCTTACCAAGGGTATAACCAAATTCAGTTGGCACCAGAGGATCAGGAGAAGGCCTGCTTTGTTACAGATCAGGGCGTCTACTGTTAGAAGGTGATGCCATTCGGACTCAAGAATGCAGGAGCCACATACCAAAGACTTGTGAACACTATGTTTGACAAGCTTATTGGTCGCAATATGGAGGTATACATAGACGATATGCTTGTCAAGAGCCTAAAGACCTCGAGTCACGTGCGAGATTTAGATCAATGCTTCACCATCCTACGGGAGTACAAGTTAAAGTTAAACCCCTCAAAGTGCACGTTTGGGGTGAGAGGAGGGAAGATTCTGGGATACATGATTTCGCAACGAGGCATAGAAGCAAATCCCGCCAAAATCGATGCCATCATCAACATGTCTCCGCCAAAATCAATCAAGAATGTCCAGCAGTTGAATGGATGCTTGGCCGCGCTGAACCGGTTTATTTCCCGCTCGGCCGAGAAAGGACTCCCTTTCTTTAAGGTACTCCGAGAAGGTAAAAACTTCAAGTGGACAGAGGAATGCCAAAAGTCCTTTGATGAGCTCAAGCAGTACTTGGCGTCACCCCTTCTCCTGACCAAGCCCAGAGAGGGAGACGAGCTTCTGCTATATCTAGCAACTACGTCAGAGGCAGTTAGTGCAGTTTTGGTACGCGAGGGAGAGAGAGGGCACCAACCTATTTACTATGTCAGTCGCGCCCTCCGAGGAGCCGAATAACGGTATTCGGGGATAGAACGACTCTCTTTAGCACTAGTCACCGCAGCCCGGAAGCTACGACCCTACTTTCAATCCCACCAGGTAGTGGTCTTGACAAATTTCCCCTTGAAACAAATTTTTCGAAGCCCCGAGGCGTCAGGTAGGCTAGCCAAGTGGGCAATCGAGCTAAGTGAGTATAGGGTAAGTTTCCGATCCCGACCAGCCATAAAGGCACAAGTCCTTGCGGATTTCCTAGTGGAGATGGTGTCAAACGAGGCAACGTGCTCTTCCCCAACTTGGACCCTTCACGTTGATGGATCTTCCACCATTGGCGGCAGTGGGGCCGGGATATTCATTCAAAGTCCAGAAGGCGACACCATGGAATATGCCCTAAAGTTGGAATTCCCGGCATCCAACAATGAAGCTGAGTATGAGTCCCTCGTAGCCGGTTTGAAGTTATCTCAAGCAGCGGGAGCTAGGAGTTTGTTAATCTATAGCGACTCACAGCTAGTGGTAAACCAGGTCATGGGGATGTACGAAGCCAAAGATGAGAAAATGGTTAAGTACCTAGACCTTGTGCACAAGCTCATAGCCGATTTTGAGAGAGTGGAGGTCAAACAGGTGCCCCGAGCTGAAAACGCAGCTGCTGATAAACTAGCTCGGTTGGCCAGCTCTATGTCAAAAATCGACAGCCGACGAGTCACGTTTCTGTCATCGGGCCACCCTGAAATCGAGTCAAGCAAGCAAATCCTCTGCTCCAGCAACACACCATGCTGGAAAGACGAGATAACCAAATATCTTTCTACGTCAGAGTTGCCTCAAGATGGAGCGGCTGCAAGAAAAGTAAAGATGAGAGCCTCCCGTTTCCTACTTATCGGAGGTGAGCTTTATAAAAGAGGTTTTTCGGTCCCTTACCTAAAATTCTTGGCCCCGGAGGAAGCGGAGTACGTCTTGCGCGAAATTCATGAAGGCATCTGCGGTAATTACTTGGGAGCAAGGGCTCTAGCCGTGAAGGCCTTACGACAAGGATATTTTTGGCCAACCATGTAGCAGGATGCTAAGTCATTGGTCGAAAAGTGCCGACCATGTCAGATACACGCCAACATCTCGCACCTGCCGGGCTCTTTGCTCCACCCGATTGATAGCCCAATTCCCTTCGCCCAATGGGGAACTAATTTGGTAGGGCCATTTCCACCGGCCACAGGGAAACGGAAATTCCTCATCGTGGCAGTCGACTACTTTACTAAATGGGTAGAAGCCGAGCCTCTGGCCAAGATAGCAGAACCCGATGTCATTCAATTTCTCTGGAGAAATATCGTCTGCCGTTTCGGAATACCCCGCGCCTTAATTTCGGACAATGGCACCCAATTCTGCGGGGACAAGGTGGCACAATGGTGTGAAGGGCTTTCGATCAAGCAATTCTTCACTTCGGTGGGGAACCCGCAGGCGAATGGCCAAACCGAAGTAACAAACAGGACAATCCTACAACACATAAAAACGAGGTTAGGAGACGCCAAGGGCGCTTGGGTTGAGGAGTTGCCGAGCGTGTTGTGGGCCTATCGTACAACCCCACGGAGTTCAACAGGAGATTCTCCCTTCAACCTCGCATACGGAATGGAGGCAGTGGTTCCGGCCGAAATAGGACAACCTTCGTGGCGAATCGCGAACTACTCAATCCAGCATAATGACTCAGCAGTCAGGGCCAGTCTAGATTTCCTAGGGGAAGTGAGGGATGCCGCGTCAACCCGGGCGGCGGCATACAAGGCTAGAATGGCGCAAGCATATAATCAACGGGTGAAGCCAAGAACATTTCAGGTCGGAGACTTAGTACTCCGAAAGGTTGGAATCTCCAAAGCCGTGGGCAAATTATATCCAAAATGGGAAGGACCGTACAAAATAACCCAAGTTGTCAATGCAGGAGCATACCGCCTCCAGCATATAGATGGACGCCACTTGCCGAGGACTTGGAATGTCGGTAATTTGAAGAAATATTTTTCTTAGAAGGTTTCCTTTTCCCAACCGCCGGTCCTGCGAGGCCCACTACTTATTTATTTCCGCTTTTTACGAACAAGTCGGGGACATGTCGTCCGCCGCATTTTCTCCATATTATTAATGAAGTAGTTCCCGGGGGCATACTGTCCACCGTACCTTTCTTATACTTCCCTTTGTCGACACACTCAATAAAATTGGTAGAAACTTGACCAACGGTCAAGTGCTAAAACGCGGGGTAGAGGGGGAAATATCATCGGCCATATCGGCTTGGCCAGCTCGGCCTTTGTTATTTCCCTCCCATAACCTCTGCAATAGCAAAAGAAACAGTGGCTAAAAGTCCAAGGGACCCCTCCCCGCCATAAAATGTTCATATCAAAACATAGGCATATGAGCGGCTTCCCCAAATAAAAACTTAGCGGTCTGATCAACCACTATGTAATAAGGGCACGAGAATTGCAAAATTGAAGAGCGATTGAAACAATCCATTCATATAGCAAAAACGCGCATTTTTTAGTTAAGGACATTACCTTCTAAAAATAAAAAGTAATAATAATAACAAATAAAAAGCATATATATAGATGGCGGAGCAAAGAGGAAGCTAATGATATATCCAAGGCAACCCGACAAAATAAGAGCTAGACCACGCCCTAGCAATAATATGCCTCTCATACGAGCCCGTATATCAAAAATAAAGGTACTACATGACTCTCATACGAGCACGTATATCAAAAATAAAGATACTACGGCTCTCATACGAGCACCTATCGCAAAAAGAAATATATATATAATATATATACTAAGTCCTAAGTGGCGGGATCACCCTCCACCGTCGGCGCGGCGGCATCAAGGAGCTCCTCCCGAGCGACCACATCGTCAAGTGCCCCAATCATCTCCCCGATCTCCAAGACACTAGGCTCTA